TCTTCTTTTTCACTTTAGACCTTGTGACTGTGCTAATTACGCTTCTTAAAGTCATCAGCTTTTATTCGACCAAGTTTCAGGGAACAAGACTCCCTGCACATAGCTGTCCCTGATCTCGGACAGAGAGACACAGAGAGAGAGAGAGAGAGCTGTCTCCGAACACATCCAACAGGAACACAACGCAGCCCACTTCGCAGTGAAAGCACGCAACCATGACCCCTGACCGGACCTTTGGTTTTTCTCTTGACCTAGATTTCAGATCTTACGCAAAACTCTAATGTCCAGGGATTTCACCCAGTCGCACATCCCTGCTAATCAGCCTTCCCCTTCCATAGGTGCGCTCTTGCCTTTGATTGTCGCGGCTGGGTTTAAATTGGTTCCCTTAAACCATGAACGAAAGTGTAATTTCGGTAGAAGTCCTGACTTCCACATCAGGATAGGTTCCCCCAGAAACACAAGCTCAACAACATCTCCGGTGAAGGTCAGTGCAACCCATGTCAGACCCACAGAAACTGCCTTCACCATGCCCTGCCTGCTTGCTCACCAAACAGTGTGTATCTTACTCAGGCAAAGCAGTCAGTGATGCTGATGTCCAGGGAACTCACCCAGTCATGCATCCCTGCTACCTAGCTTTCCTATGCCATAGCTGCACTCTTGCCTGTGGCTGTTGTGGGCTGGGCTGAAGTTGGTTCCTTTAAAGCATGAACGAAAACACAGATGCTGCTTTTGCTTTCTTTTTTGCAATGTGTCAAGACATGAGGGGCCACAATGAAAGTCATAAGTTTGCCGGTGAGAAAGCACATGTTAGGACCGTGCTACTTTTGTACCAAACTCCCCGTCCAACATGGTATACAAAACAAGCTCTTAGTGCTCTGGTTTTTCAACATGTTAGGCCCCGGTCTACTGTGAATTCCTGAGGCCCCTTTTGAAGTAGTTGCAGGTATTACTTTTCATCAAAGCCTCTTGCGCCTTGAGCGGTGAATGTCCGGACATTTCAGGACCGGCGTGGCTACAGGTTGCTTGGTCCAATCGAGTTGTTGTTTGATATATTGTTTTTGTGCTGTCTCCAGTTGAATGATTTGCAAGTCCCAAGCGGCGGGCAGATGGTAACCAAGTTGCATTAAGTCAGTCTAGTGGGTCGTAGGGATCATTGAAAGCTGCAGGCTGGATAGTCGTAAGGCAATGCAGTGCTGTGGTGACGGAAGGTGGACAAGTTCTACTGAAGTATGGCAGGAACCTATTACAAAATCACTCTGCGGGAAGGGCAAGCCAGAAAAACACAAAACTGATGGATCTTGTGAGAACCGGCGGTCCTGAAAAACACCTGAGAAACACCTTACGGACGGTTTTTCTTCCGGAACGAAACACCTCCCCGCGACCTCCAGGACCCCTGAAGTAGTCACCACTCAGACTCCCCAGGTCTCGTGGTCGTGACCGGCGCGACCGTCGCGATCGGCTCCATAGCCAGCACTGAGACGAAAACGAAGAAACCGGTTAAACCGGTTTTGCTGTATTCTTGTGTGTTCAGCTCAGTGTGTTCTTTAACTGGGACAGAATGTGCGGCGTGGTGATTTTGCCCTGAATGGTTGGAGGGAGAGATGATGCAACTGAGTAGCTCAGCTTGTTGCATGTGCAAACAACACATCATTGGCTGGTCTTTGTTGTTTTTGTCCCTAATTTTCAATAGTGCGTTGTGTTCAGACCGAATCAGAATCATCATCTATATATTCTAATTCTATATGAGGCATCCCGTGAGCCTTTGGATCCGACTGAAACACCGCCCCGAGGTCACCCAGCCGCCGCGACCGGCGCGACCGCGACCGGCGCGACCGCTCGCGCCGGAGCCCTCGGGCCTTTGGGCCCGGCGGAAGGTGGGGCGCCCTTTTTTGGTCCGACCGGGGGGTTAACGGAAGAAGTTGGGGGCGAAGCATGGGAGCATTCTTGAAAAGACACTGAAACAGAGAGAGAGTGAGAGAGAGAGAGAGAGAGGGACTTTTCCTGAAACTGCAAAGACTTTGGGCTTTGGCGTTGCAGGGGTCGAAGGAGTGGTGGTCTTAGCATCGGTTGTGGGCCTTTAGGCCATGCAGTCCGTGATTCGCATGAGTTGGTGGAATGACGCCATAAAGCTACTTGTTTGGTGTTCTTTTTGCATTTTGCAGTTCAACTCTTTTGAAGCCTACTGATGTAAGACATATTATATGACCTCATATGTCATTTTGTGTTGGACCTGTGCGATGCTTGCATGAAGACGCAGGCCCAGTGGCAACTGGGGCGGAGTTCCTTGGCCATATTGGGGTGTGGGTCCTTCACACCCGGCGACCAGCCCAAGCACTCGTCCAGGCGTCCGGACCAGGCGTCCGTGCGGTCGGTCGTCCACCCCCATGACGAAGCTACTAGGAGCAAAGGGCATCGCTACGAACGGAGCAAGGACGCTACTAGGGGGCTCCTCGCATCGTTACTAGGAGCAAGCGTTTCATTCCCGTGTGTCCAAGGATCATGGGGCTGTGGTGGCTGTGGGATTTTGGCCTATGGCATGGGCCAATGGTAAAAGTGGTTTGGGATTGGCATGATCAGCATGGCCTTCCTTGGTTTGGAACGTGGTTTGGGTTGGT